TCCTCCTCCTCCTCCTCCTCCTCCTCCTCCTCCTCTTCTTCCTCTTCTTAGACAGGGTCTCTCTCTATACAGCCCTGACTGTCCTTAAATTTGCTCTGTAGAGCAGGCTGGCCTTGAACTCAGAGAGATCTGCCTGCCTCTGCCTCTTGAGTGCTAAGTTTAAAGGTATGTGTGTCACCATGCCTGGCTATTTTAACTTCTTGATATTCCCAAAGACTGAATACATTTTTTAGGGCTGGGGATGTACCTCAGTGGGTAGAGTGTTTGCCTTGCATGCATGAAGCCCTGAGTTCCGTCCTCCAACACTCTCTCGTCTCTCTTTACAAGGTCACCTTTTAAAACCTCTCTTCACTCCACCCCACTGCTCTGCTTCCAGCCACTGCAGAATTTCCAGAAGTTTATGTAAATGAACTGATACTGTACGAATTCTTTTTGGTCTGGTTTCTTTAATTCAGCATAATGACTTTGAGAATCATGTATGTTGTGTGAATACTTTATCCTTTTTTAAAAGATAATATATTATTTTAAAAATAATACAGGAGAGTATACATCTCTGCATTGTTTCTTATAGATCCAATGCGACTATAAGAAACAATGCAGAGATGTATACTCTCCTGTTTCCTCCAATTATAATCACACAACCAGGAGAATGGCACTGTAACAACCCATCAATTTTGTTCATATTGTCTTAGCTTTGCCTATTCCTGTGCAATTTTATCACCGACATAGATTAGTGCGTCCCTCATCACACACAATATACAGAACAGTTCGATTCCGCGGAGCCCTCCCACCTGCCGTCAGCCCCACACCCTCCCCTCTCTTGCACACCCTCCCCTCTCTTGCACACCTTCCCCTCTCTTGCACACCCTCCCCTCTTGCACACCCTCCCCTCTCTTGCACACCCTCCCCTCTCTTGCACACCCTCCCCTCTCTTGCACACCCTCCGGTCAACACTAGTCCCTGGCACTCACTAGTCAGTTTCCCATATCTAAAATTCTGTTATTTCAGAAATAAAGTGGAGTTGTTCATTTCATCTCATTAGTTGGTAGTATTTTCCTTTTATATGTCTATCACAATTTGCTAATCCACTTATTTATTCAATGGACATGTGAAATGTTTCCTGGTGGGGAGTTTTTCAGTTCTGAGGATTAAACCCAGAGTTTCTTGCATTGCTACCCCGCCGTGCATGGATCACGGAGCAATAGCCCACACCCTGTCTCCAGGTTTCCACTTTTACATCTGTGTTTGTCTTTATATAAACCCATGCTTTTAGAAAATAGACAACACCATCATTGTTATTCTAATTGTATAAATAAGGAGAGAGCCTTGGAGGGGGTTATTCCACTCAAAAAATTATTTTAAATTACAAATGTTTTTTGTTAAAGATTTTAAACCATCCTTCTTGGAATGCTTGAAAAGTGGAAAACTTTTACATTACTTTTAACATTAGCTATGTGGAATACCTTTTGCAACCAGTTTACAGACTAAAAAATACAAACTCTTTACACAACACATATATAAGTATATGTGTTAGTTTTTTTCCCTGTATTTCATAGATAAGAACTATGAGAAAGTCAGCCAGATTGAGCCCTTGTTTATCCAATGAGCCTCTAAAAGATAACTGGACTTTGTGTTATGTTCCATATTTCCTGTTATGGAATGGTCAAAGAAAAATATCTCACATTTGTACTCTTTGCATTCTACTTACTATTCAGTAGCAAGCATTCTGTACCTGTAAGCAAGAATGAGACCCAAGAGTTTCTGCAGTTTCCCAACTGCCACAGCATACAATATTTGTTAGCTGATTCTCCAGCACTAAGCAAATTACTGTAAAAGAAGAATCAAAGTTTAACTCTTCAATAGTATTGGCTGTTTTGTGTAACAATTTTAAGAAGAGTACTGTTCTAAGTTTTTCTCATGTAAATGCAAGTAACAATGAACTCTACTTTGTAAATATATAAAACCAAATTTCTAATTACTTTTTCCTTCCCTGAAAGACTTGGTATTAATAAATTCCTCAATTAGTCCTGCTTGCTAAACATTATTGTGATGCTCAATCTTCATCAGCAATGTGACTGGATTCAGAACCACCTAGGAGATTGGTGAGGCCACACGGCAAGGGTGTATCAGTGAGGGCATTTCTGTGAACTCCAGGCTGGGTGGGAGGTACCATCCCATGACTGGGGATCCCCGACAGAATAAAAGGAGAGAAAGGGAAAGCAACTGAGCATTAGATTCCTTGTCCCTGTTCCTTTGCCAGCCAGGAGGTGAAGAGCTGTTCCCTGCCATGTGCTCCCACCTCTACAATGATGTGTCGCTTGAGCCCACCAGGCCAGGCAACTATGGACTGAACTCTCTGAGACCAGGAACCAAGACAAATCCTTCCTCACTTCAACTGTTCCTGACAGATATTTGGTTGAGCAATGACAAACATAAATAACATGGAAATTGATTACTTGTGACGACTAGTTGGGATTTAAAAAAAAAAAAAAAGCAGAGTGGGAATATGTGAAAAATATGCAATTTGGCTAGAAAAGGGTTGGTTTAACTTTCTAGATAATGAGATTGGGGCTGTTAGAGAGATCATCACCACTAAAGAGAAGCTAAGCACTTCATACAGGGCCATATGAAAGATACTTTCAGCATCTCAGTTTTAGACGGACTCTAAGGTGCAAAGCTCATTTGAAAGACTTTCCTTTGAGAAGAGAGTGATGAAGCACCTTGCTCCCACAGGGACATCAAGGGAAATGGATCCCTTAGTTCAAGTTCCTAGTTCCTCAGACACCACTACAGCCATGGTCCGAGGAGGCCGGACTACTGCTTTAACTGGCAGCAGACCTTGGCATCATCTACATGATGCTGGATTTTCAGGCATACAGAATAGAAAAGCTATAGGATCATGTAAGCTTCAGCCACACTTTAAAAAGAAGAGGTGGAGGGCCAGGTAATGTTATAACAAACAGGATTGGATGTTATTGATGTAACTAACCGTCTTATTAAATAAGAAACACAGAAACAATGTAAAGGAGAAAGCCGAGAGGTCAGAGCTCAGAGCTAAAATCTCACCCTTCCTCCTGCTGTCCCAGCTTCGCGAAAGAGACCTACTTCCTGTCTGTTCTTTTTTTTATAGTATGTTGTTCTGCCTTCTCATTGGTTGTAAACCCAAACACATGACTGCCTCGTCACTGTCTGAATGTACAGCCCCCTAGGTCTTAAAGGCAT